CTCTTATCACAATCCATACATACATCAATTGTGTAAAGCGCATTTGTACATTCATTGCCCTCATTATTCTCAAAACGTTTCCTCTCCACATTGGGGTTTTTGTTTGGTTTTGGTTTGGTCTTTCAATGCTGTGTTGAAATTGTCTAACACACGTCCCTTCCTTCCATGGTATCATTTATTTATCATCTAACTGGCGGCTACAAATGTCCACCCATGTATCTTCCCTGCAGTGGGGACAAATAGGTATGGTTTGACAGCAGGCATTAATTATTAATCTAGAAAACAGTGTATTAAAGAGCTCTATGTTTATTAAAGATAAATGATAGAATGTATGTTCCGTTTCTCCTAGAAGTTTCTCATGGCAGCTTCTGCCAGCTGACCCCTCAAACCCAGAATATGTCAAAAAGTATATCTGCATGAATTCTTTCTTTGCACTGGACATATCAGTCAGGAAATCATCAGTGGAGAATATAAGCTGAGCATAAAAGGGGGGGAAGGCGTGACTGCTGTGATGTGCTGAACAATGCCCCCCTTCCCCATAAAGATGTCCAAGCCCTAATTCATGGACTTTGTCAATGGCACCTCACATGGTTAAAGGGACTTCACCGTTGTGATAAAGCTAAGGACTTCTCTGTACTTCCGGTGTAATTTTTCTGTACACCGGAAACGTCTCTAAAACAGAAAGTCTGTGTCAGAAGATGAAGCAGGAACGACTCCTGCTGACTAAAAGAAATTCTTTAGGCCTGCCTTGCTCAGCACATATGTTCAAATTTGGGATGCTGAATTCATTTTTTTAACTATGGATTTTGTATGCAGTAGAGCACTGCCTTGTAGATGATCCCTTCAGGTTGGAAAGCGCTCAAAATACGACTGCGAAAGAGCTGCCGCGTCAAAGTAGAACCAGCCTGAATGATGCAGATGGAATAAAGTTTTCGGGGTCTTCATAATTGGTGCAACCGATTATTTTCCCCCCAGGATGAATTTGAATCCTACATTGTCCTCTTCAATCTGTCACGTTTGTCGTTAGCCCACCATCGGGTCAGTTCTGCCCTGGATTGACCTGTGCACAACAGAAGGAAACGCTGCCTGGCCCTGCGCCATCCTCACAGCGGCTCCTGTGCCTCAGCCCGCTGTTGCAGCTACTGTGTCAGTCCATCTGGTCGGGGGCCTTTACCTCGTTCACCATCTCTTACTTTACCAAGCACAACGTCCTTCTCCAGGGCCTGGTCTCTGCGGACAACACGTCCAGTGTGAGACAGCGTCTCACCGTCCTTGTCTCTGAGGAGCACGCTAGCCCTGATTCTTCCAAGTCGGATTGGTTTGTCCTTTTAACAATCCATGGTTCTTTCAATGTTCTTTGCCAGCCCCACAGTCAAATGTATTGGTTCTTCTTCAGTGCTCATTATTCTTTTTTCTTTTTTTTCCCAAATTGTATCAGCTTTATTAAAGATAGTTTTCATAAACAATCATGGTATTCAGGCAGGACATGGGCAGACGATCGTTAACAGCATTTAACAACTTTCAAACTCCCTTCTTCAATGGACCACCCAAATCAGAAAGCCACTGTAAAATCCACTGAAGTCTTAGGCTGATGCTCTGAACGGGGAAAGTTTAGAGTGAGGGTGGACATTTCACATTTAGCATGTTGTTTTAACAACTTTTCATGAGCCGACCCTGACTTTCAGAGAACGAAATGTTTTGAGGTCAAGTCCCAACA